CTGGCTTCTTCGGCCAAACACAATAGAATAAAATAATAATACAATTCTTAAAACGTTTTTTAATTTCTTATTACCTATTGACAAGTTGAAGTGTTCCAAAACATCACACCCATATAACAACTTAAACCTTTTGAACCTTAATTAGCATGTAATAAAGCCATATTGAATTTAATATGAGTATCTAGTTAGTAATATTTAGCAGCTCCTAAAACGTTCTAAAATTAACCGGGAATCCGAAGGATAAACCTCTTAATATTATGCAAAAATTATCAATAAGACCAATCCCTGTAATTTCGTTTTGAATTATTTTTTTCGTTTTGTGGACACGACATTTTTATATATTAGTTAATAGTTTTAGTCTTAGTAAACAAAAAATAGATTAAAAAGAAAAAGTTAATTTCCAATTTCCGGTAGAAAATTTTAAATTTTTTTTGCTACTAATTTTTAGGTCTCTTAACCAAGTATCTAAAAGAAAAATAAAAATTTGCCTTCTTTTTATTTATATATGTATGTTTTTAATTTTGTCAAAATTTGTAAAAATTTAGGGATTCCGCCAAAAAACGGTTATTACTTACAATTTTTTTGTTATTGTTTGTAGTTATTTAATAAAAATTATACACTAAAATCAAAACTAGGCAAGTCGGTCTAAAAAAAAATTAATACCTTAATTTTTCTAAATTTTGGCAATACCATAAACGTAGTCTTTGTAACTTTTTCTGAAACTTAAGAAATATGGCTTAAAGAATGCATATAATTTTTACAGTTCCAGCAGGAAAATCTAAACATTCTTCACAGATTCTATTAAAGCACTTCAAAACGTCCAAAATAGTAAATAAAAAGTTAGCTACTCTTAAAATTTTGTTTATTTCACTCTATCAAACTTAAGCAATTTTGGGAATTCCAATAAAAACATCTCAAAATGTTCGACATTTACCAAAAATTAATTCTGTTTCTTGTACGTTTAGAAATAAACAAAACTATTAACATTCAAAGTGATACACTAAAAACTGAATTTCGACAACTTCTTTTGTAGCACAGTAAAACGGCGCTTTTCCGTTCAACAGTTGTACCTCAGAAATTTTCTGACTTTAGCGCCCTCTGATGTTAGCAAAAAGGGGAGATAATAAATTAAACTTCCAAATCTATTAAAGGTACTATGTTAGCTTGACATAAATGTATATTACTTAAATATTTTAAGCACTTTATTTAACTTTAATTTTGCTTATGGGACAA